TCTTGTTCTTTTAATATATTTGTTGGGGAGGAAAGCCCTGTGGGCGCCCCAGCAGGTAGGGTGGAGCTCAGAGGGCAGTTTTGGGGAGTTGTTCTCTCTTCTTACAGCTCAGATTATGAAGCTTCTCAGCAAGCACTGCTACCTGCTGAGCTGTCTCTCTGATCCAATCTCAGTGTAGCCCAGGCTGGCCTCATACTCCTTCTGTAACTGAGGATGACTTGGAACTCCTTCCTGCCTCCACCTCCTGAGTGCTAGGATTGCAGTTATAGACCACCCCAAAAAAAATTTTTTTAAATAATTTTTTTTCTCTAAGACCAGACTAAAGTCACAGATTTTAATTTTTTTCCTCATAAAAGTAGAAAGTAGTTCGTTTTTTTAAAGCAGAAAATATACTGTATTTTATTAACCGAATACCCCAAGTTTACACATCTTTCTTTAATTTTCCACCTTAGGCCAAGAGGAAGAGAAGAGGCAACAAAATGAGAATCAGAGAGATGAGGGGGACAGGGATCTGCATGGGGAGCCTCACAGAGGCCAGGAGGGGAGCGGAAACAGTGTGTGAGGCTTAGAGGGAAAAGGGGGACCTGTGGAAGAGCAGGGGCTGATGGCGACAGAAGCATGTGGTACCACTGTGACAGCGCTAAGGTTCTGGGGAGAAAACCCCAAGGAAGTTCTGAACAAAGTGGTGGAGGATTTAAAACCTTGGCCACATCTCTTGGAAATGGCACAGAGAGGGCTCCGTGGCAGTGGCTGTCCCCTCCCACTCGCAATGGCGTCAAAGGATTTCTTCCCTGTGCAGCTGTCTCCTGATGCTCTATTGCCCCTTCAGCTTCTTTATCCTTCACTAACAGGAGGCACCTGAACCTTCCTCTGGTCTCAAACAATACAGGAGCCCCTGTGCCTGCCCTGCCTGCCTCAGGCTTCTCCCCTGCGATCTCCTTCTGCAAATTTATTTCCATTCCCTGAAGTTGTTTCTTTTGTTTTTGTCTTTTAAAGATTTATTTTCATTTTATGTGTACAAGTGATTTGCCTGTGTGCCTGTGTGCGTGCGTGCGTGCGTGCGTGCGTGCGTGCGTGTGTGTGTGTGTGTGTGTGTGTGTGTGTGTGTGTGTGCCATGTGCATACCTGGTGCCCACTGAGGTCAGGACAGAGTGTTAGATCTCCTGGAACTGGAGTTATGGATGGTTATGAATTGTCATGAGGACACTGGGAATTGAACACCAGTTCTCTGCAATGGCAGTAAATGTTATTAACTGCTAAGCCATCTCTCCAGCCCCTGTTTCTTGGGGGTTTTATATGTGTGAAATCATGCCAGATGAACTTGAATGGACTGGCTTCTGTCACCCATCCTCCTGTTTTTGAGATAAAACCCTGGGTTTGTCACTTGTTGCTATACTGAGTTTTGCTTATATATAATATAATATAATATAATATAATATATATTTTTATTGAGGTATAGTTCCCCACACTTTACTTGAAGGTCAGGAATACAGAACCCAGAAAGGGATGACATCTGACCAAAAAGAACTAGGAACAGGGAAGGGGCACGCCTGTGCCCCTAAAGCACAAAGGCAATTTAATGTGATCTGAAAGAATGTGGTTTCAATGACCCCACAGTGACCAAGAGAACTGTGGAAGGCTTTCTCTTCTGTCGGAAGCCTTCTGAGAAAAACCTGTGTGCCGATTAGAAGTTAGCCTTCAAGATTGCTGATCCAAGAAAAACAAAAGCAAACCAGAAAAGGGAGTTGGAGCAAAGTGTCTATGAAACAACTCTAAGATGCAAACACCGTATCCTAGCCAGAAACTGTGTGGACCTGTGTGGGCGGCACTCAAAGTTCTTTGGGAACCAGATAGATCTCTCAGACCAACCCTATGACCCCGACCTCCAAGTCACTCCTCCTGTGTTGACAAGGGAGGCTTTCTATCCATCTGCTGCCACTCAGCTCACTTGTATCAGCATTCTTCCCTCATCAGAATCCTAAACTGTCCTTGACCCAGCTGGACTATGGAAACAACAGTCTAAGGAATCCTGGGACTCGGAAATCAAACTCTCATTGAAGTGTTTTGGTGTGCTGCATGTGTGTGTGTGTGTGTGTGTGTGTGTGTGTGTGTGTGAGAGAGAGAGAGAGAGAGAGAGAGAGAGAGAGAGAGAGAGAGAGAGACAGAGAGAGAGAGAGAGAGAGAGAGAGAGAGGGTGCCCACAGAGACCAAAAGAGGGTGTCAGATCCCCTGGAGCTGGAGCTATGGGTGGTTGTAAGTCACTCTATGTGGGTGCTGGGAAGCAAATTCAGGTCCTCTAGAAAAGGAGTAAGTTATAGTGATTGCTAAGCCATCTCTCCATCTCTATCTCTTGGTGACTCCAGCGACATCATCCCCCAGTACCATCTCCCTTTAAGTGTCGCTGCTGGTTAGCAGCAGCAGTGTGACCCAGAACTTGTTCAAAAAGTAAATTCCTTGACACTCCCTCCACCCACCTTCTTACTGAACTGGAATATTTGCATGTTGACAAGATCCCCTTGGTGTGTATGTACATCTGCATTTCACAAGCTCTAAGCTAGACCAGTGGCTTTTCAGCTGTGGTGGCTAAGGGACATGCTAGGAGACACACTTGGCTGCCCTAAGTGGGGAGATGGAGTGACTCCTTTCCCATTGCTGAAAGTAATGGAGAGATGCACCTTCCCCACCTGGTCCAAGATGGGAATTCAGGACAGCTAACTGGGGCTGTGCCCTCTGTCTGAGAGGAGTCATAATAGAACTCCCTCTCACACAGACCTGTGAACAAGGCTTTTTCTATACTTCCCCATCTCTAAAATAGGCGATGCCGCTGTCTGTGATGGTGCATGCTGGTAGGATTTGCTGAAGGAGGAGGGGGGAGAGGGGGGCAGGGGGATCACGAATTTGAGGCCAGCCTGGACTATACATTTAAAAATAAATAAACAAATAATAAAATATCCAATGCCTTTGTGCCTCACAGAGTCGCCTAAGGACACAGAGACCACACAGAAGCAGAATTACTCTCAAGTAGGACCAGCAGCCATTCCAGGGAGTAGAGATGAGTTTTGACATCTCATTTGGATGGGAGGAGCTAAGCTTTGTTGTCACCAAGAAAGTACAAACTATAAATGCATGTCCAACGTAAGCCACAAACAGAAATAACAGCTGTCATTGCAGAATACTTCTGATGTCCAGGATCTGGGATAAATGGGTAATTTCAGTCCTAGCATGCGGGTAATGTCACTGATGCCTTCATTATGTATTCTAATCCCAGGCCACAAAGGCAGCTTGGCATCTCAGTCTGCATTCTCAGCCATATGCCACATGTGACAAGTTACAGAAGAGCTTTGAGTGGTGTTGGAAGAGTCCGCTATTGCTTACACGACAGAAATTTTATGTGTGTGTGTGTGTTTAATAATTTTAGCACTGGCATATTTTGTACTTCTCTCATTAGAGTGAGACACACAGACTTAGCAAAGTTCCCATCTAATAAAGCAGATCCAACTATACCTTTTCTGCTAAGAGATGAGAGAAGGATCTGGGAGCCTGGCTTGCTCCCACACCTCACCCACACCCTCTATTCACTCACAGGAAGTGGATCCACCTCTGCGGTCTCTGGCCTCTGATATTTCCAATCCAAAATCCACTCCCTGACCTCCTTGTACCTGGGTTAACTGGAAGGTTCTCCCCAGTTCCCGTCTTGCAGGATAAGCCATGGGCAAAATAAGGATGTGTTGTTGAAGGGAGAGGCCCTGGTATGTATTAGCCTTTGAGGGATGGGCAGGATATTTTTAAGAATGATGAACTTGATTAAGTGCCTAACTTACAATTATTTCAAAGCAGCAAGAAAAAGGAAATGCTTCAAAGACACTGTAATGGAGAATTCAGTGGTGTAAGGTTGTGTCATAGTGAGAGAGTTCTTGTCTTGCATCCAAGCAGCCCTGGGTTAGATCCTACAGCACCCAGTAACAATGAGACTGTTGAAACTGAATACCTTGTGTCTAGTTAGAATGTCGGATCTAAGCCAGATGTGGTGGTGTTTGCCTAATCCTAGTACTTGGGAAGCTTGGTGAGTTCAAGGCTAACCTGGGCTATATATCAAAGCCTTGTCTCAAAATGAGAAAGATGCAATCCAGTATGGACTTGCATTTAGGAGTAAGCTTGTGCAATAAGTATGAATGAATTGGCATTAGTCCAATCCAAGAAAGGATTGGGTGTGTGTTGGGAGTGGCACAGCACTATCCAATCCTTAGTTCATGGAGGACCTGTGCCACCCTTAGGTATCCAACAACTACAAACACTTTAATCTGCTGCTTGGGCTGCCCCACACTAAGTCACTATTCATCACACTTTCACAAGGGGACATCAAGCAGAACGGTCAAGGGACCCAATTAGCAAATGACTTGCTGTGCAACTAAAAGACATGTGCCATTTTGTCACTCTGACTCTGGTCTCTCAAGATCAACCCAGGAGAGAACAGTACAACCATTCTCTACCACCAGAGCCCTGAATCTGGAAGGGTGGAAATGCAAGGGGCCATATTAGAGCCTTTTATAGATGACCCATTTAAATAAATGACTAGAAGGAGGGATTGGGGTTCTCCATTTTTAAAGGAGAACATGCATCAGTTACTCACAGATAAAAACTATTCTTAAAAGACATATGAAGGTGGGGCTGGGGTATTTGTTTGTGTGTTTGTTTGAAACAGGGTCTCATAGACCAAGCCATCCTCAAACTTACTATGTAACTGACAATGGCCTTGAACTCCCCAATGTTCAGATTACAGATGTGCACCGCTACACCCACCAGGCCTCAAACACAAGAGTATTTAAAACTTTATTAAACCTCTGAGGAGCATTGCCTCCCACTTGTAAGCAATTGCTCCCACTTGTACCACCACTGAGTCCCTTCTATTTCTCCTTGAACTTACCTGGATTGTAAGGTGGCAATCTTTACAGGACAGACATACATCTAACACTTGGCTGTTCTTCTCTTCTTGTACATAGTTCCATATGTGCTGAAGAGCTGTGCCGAATTTATAGAGACTCATGGCATTGTGGATGGAATCTACCGTCTCTCAGGTGTCACCTCAAACATCCAGCGGCTAAGGTAAGCCCAAAGAAGAGCCCAGAATTCTCCAGTGAGTCTGTCTTTGTTGTGTCCCTACTGGCACTTGCTGGGAGTCCCAGAAAATGGAAAGATGGCCTGTGTGAGACACAGCTGCCTGGCAGTTCTAACTCTAATCAGAAGGCTCCCAGTCTGGTGGAATGCTTTCCAATAAAAATGCCTTTTTCTTTGTCTTGGGCAGGGTTTATGCTTCTCTGGTGGATTGGGTTTACCTCACATGATCTAAATTACAAGTTAGGAAACATATTTTCTCTAAAGCCCAGTTAGATTGGGGCCCCTCACACAGTGTTCAGAACTCTAAGCCCTTAGGGGGGTTTTCTTTGGATACACTCATGATATTTCAGATGGTTGAGAAATTAGATGTCTGCATAATTGTACATTTCTCTAATCGATGCTGACATTCGTAAGTTACTCGGGGCCAGTGATATAGCTCCATAAGTAAAGATGCTTGCTGGGCAAGCCCAACGATCTGAGCTGGATCCCTGAAGCCTATGTAAGTAGGAAGAGAGAACTCACTCCACAAAGTTGTCCTCTAACCTCCATATGCAACCAATGGCAAGTGTGCCTTCCACCTTCCCCATACACCAGTAATTTTTTTAAATGGATGATGTATAAAACTGTTTAAATAAAAAAGGTATATACAGAGTGTATATAGAATATATGAAATAATATGTTTTTCTGTGGTTAATGCAATAGCTTATTATTTTGCTTACCTATTTATAATACAAAAAGAATATTTAGTGGTTTTTAAAATATATTTATTATACATTTTTTAATTATAAATATCAATTCTAAAATAATAAGAATATACATTTAAACATTTTTGAAACATTATTCTTAGCCCAGGCTGGGAAATCCCCCTGCTTCTGTAGAACACTCTTATTGAAAAGTCAACATGTAACTTGTGATATATTATACAGATTATATATTATATAATTCAGGTTTTGTCTGTTTGGTCCTTCATCTCCAAATATCACTTGTAATTATAGAAAAAATAAAACACCTTTATGGATGTTAAAAAATAATTGGTTTATTACAAGTATAGTTTTGTTTTTTTTTAATTTTGTGCTGCTGAGATGAAACCTAGGGCCTTATGCATGCTAGCCAAGTGCTCTAATGCTGTGCTAACCCCAGCCCTATTGTGCTTCCATGAATCTCTGTACATGTAATTTACAAGTGTGCTTTTTGTTAATGTTGTTGTTAGGGTTTTGTCTTATTTTGGTTTGAGACGGGGTGTCACTTTGTAAACTAGGCTGGCCTTGAACTTACAGGGACACACCTGCTTCTGCTTCTGCCTCTGCCTCTGCCTCACAAGAGCTAGGATTAAAGGTGTGTGCCACCACACCCAGCTGTTTGGATGTCTTGTTTGTTTTTTAAGACAGGGTCTCACTCTACCTCAGACTAGCTTTGAACTCACAATTCTCTTTCCTCACCGTTCCAAGCCCTGGGATTACAAGTGTGCACCACCATACACGGCCTTAGAATTCTATTGACAGTATTTTTCCGTTCTTTCTGGGATCAGCACTGGGCCTTGAGCCTGCAAGTTGCACATACACATGTGTTCACAGACTCATGGGACAGCTCTTCTCAGGGCCCTTGAGTTGCCTTGAGGTTCCTACAGTACTGGAGGGTTTTCTACTAGTCTCTGAAGAGACAGAACCAGAGTAGAGGTAGGCCATGGGCTGATTAAAATGCAGAATTTGTTTTACTGACCAAGGAAGACACTTAGAAGCCGACCTTCTATATTAAAACCATATTGCAGTTTACAAGAATGTATTGCTTCAGGCAGAGCATTCATGTAACCTTGTAAGGAAACATTTTCTGATTTGACACCAAGCCTAAACTGGGGCTGGTGGCACAGGCCAGGCCTGTGGCCCCCAACACACAGGAGATTCAAGAAGGATGTGAGTTCAAGACCAAACCCGGCTTACATAGTGAATCCCTGAAAAAAAAAAAAAAAAGGAGCAAAAGAAAAAAAAGAAAAGAAAAGGAAAGAAAGAAGACAGCACAGAAGCCTAACCTGGAGCCAGATGACATTGGGATCTGACTGTAAACTGCTTAGGGTAGCCCCACACTTGTGTGACATGCAGGAGTCACCACTCAGCAACCTAGAAAGTTCCACTGAGCATCAGAGAAGTGGTTGAGTTAGGACCTCAAGCCTTGGGTTTTAGTATTCAGATGAAGCAAGTTTATTACACGACAGTGGAGATGGGTAATAAGACATCACGCCCTCCCCACCTGGACTGCCTGGACTGCCCCACCTCACCCCACTTCCCGGTTTTGGGTCTCAGTGGCTAAAAAAAAAAAAAAAAAATAGAATTTGATTTTGAAGAATGTTTTGGGAAAACTAAAATCTCAGTAGGCTTTTTTGGCAAACTTCTCATACCGTCCCAGTGCCCATGACCAAGGCACGGACCCAGTGGCGTGGGGCCTCTGTTCTCAAATGAGTTTTCTGACTTCCACGCAAGCTTCAGCCTTCAGAAATGGTGTCTCTCCAATGGCCTCCTGGTGCCCGGAGTAGAATGGAGGTCAGAAGTAGAGGCAGATCAGCAGTGTAGCCTCTTTTTACCCCGGTGCCTCCAAGCAGCTGCGGACATGGAGCACATGTTCCCTGGGATTGTTATGTCTCCGTCTGTGTTGTTTCAGGCAAGAGTTCGGCTCAGATCAATGTCCAGATCTGACAAGGGAAGTGTACCTCCAAGACATCCACTGTGTGGGCTCCCTGTGCAAGCTCTACTTCAGGGAGCTGCCCAACCCCCTCCTGACCTACGAGCTCTATGAGAAATTCACGGTGAGTGTTTGCATTTTCATTGTGGTTAGCCACTGGGATGCATGGACCGGCCAAGGGCAGTTTCAACACTGAAACAACAATAATAAAACTCACCAGCTGGTTGGCATTATCTTAGCATGGTGGTGGAAGTAAGATGGCGAGAGAAGGAGGGCAGTGGGACTGTTGGCTAACTGTTTCTTGAGTTTTCAGAATGAAGCTGTTTGTTTTAAGAGCTGGGTTAAATTATTTCTTTGTTTATTCAACTGAATGTGCCTCCGTGTACAGGGAGGAAACGGAGAACCAAAGAAGTAAAGTGGCTGGCCCAAGGTCACACAACAGAGGCAGGGCAGGAATCTGAGACTCCCCCACCCCACCCCCAGTGCTTGCTGTACACCATGGTGGTTAATTTTCAAAAGAGCATCCCTTCTGTGTTTGGTTGGGGGCTCAGAGAGAGAGACCACTAGAAACCCCCAAACATCAAATGATAGGTCAGAAAGCTAAGAAGATTTGAAAGGAAACAGAAAAGCACCTGGGCCAGGGCGAGAGAGGATGGAATAGGCCAGTGGGATGATGCAAGAGCAGAATATCTAAACCAAATGAGGCCCCATGGGTGAGCAGAAAAGAGAATAGTGGCCCCATACACATGGGTAAAGCAAACATTAAAGTCGGGCTTGGCAAGGTAGCCAAGCCCAGGGATTTAAAGCCTGCATGTTTTCTCTCACGTTCCTATACAAGCCCATGATGGTTGTGCATGTGTGTATAAGTGTCAGTACAGGCTAGGACACTAAAGTGTAGAGCCAGAAAGAGGGAAAGAGGTGTGTAGGACGTGGGACAGGGCAACAGGACACATGTGATATGAATATAGAAAGAAGCTTTGGAGGGCTCAGGCAGAGGGCAAAAACGGAGAGAGGACTCAACAAGAACAGATTTTGTTTTACAATGTTATAATGAAAACTAATACCAAGCATGTTAATTACAATTTTTTAATTGTTTTAAAGATTTATTTATTTATTATGTACACAGTTTTCTGTCTGCATGTATCCCTGCAGGCCAGAAGAGGGCACCAGATCTCACTACAGATGGTTGTGAGCCACCATGTGGTTGCTGGGAATTGAACTCAGGAACTCTGGAAGAGCAGACAGTGCTCTTAACCTCTGAGCCATCTCTCCAGCCTCTTATAATTTTTAATACATAACAAAACTAAAATAGGGCTTAACACAACTGCCTACATAAGTAGATTTATAGAACAGGTGAGGTGACTTAATGGAAAAGCAAAAGGAGAGAGGGGTGGAGGTTGCTAAAGTACTTGACCACAGAAGTTTGTCTGAAGAGGAAGGAAGAAATGAATACAAATCAGAGAAGTGCTGGGGAATGAGCACTTACTCACCCATGCAAGGCCAGTGGAAAGCTGGAGGGCAGGGGTCAGGGGACCGCTCAAATTAGCATCATAGATAGCAAAGAACCAGATCTGGGCAGTAATGGTGTGACAGGATGTTTCTCAATATCCTGTAATAAACTTTTAACCACATGAAAAGTTCCTTCATTCAAAATCACACAGAAATAAATGAATAATTAGTTTTGGGGGAAGTGGATTTTTCTTCCAGTCAAGGTTTCTCTGTGTAAGCCTGACTGTCCTGGAACTTGCTTTGTAGACCAGGCTGGCCTCGAAATCAGAGATCTGCCTGTTTCTGTTCCCCAAGTGCTGGAATGAAAGGCATGTGCCACCACTGCCCGGTATGAATGATTATTCTTAAGAGTTGGGCTTGGCTTACTGACTGTGTCCTCTGCTTTATAGAAGCTTCTCAGTTTCTGGAAGTCCCATTTATTAATTGTAGATCTCAATGTCTGTGCTACTGGTGTTATGTTCAGGAAGCAGTCTCCTGTACCAATTCGTTCAAGAGTATCTCCCAATTTCTCTTCTAGAAGGTTCAGTGTGGCTGGATTTATGTTGAGATCTTTGATCCATTTGGACTTAAGTTTTGTGCATGGTGATAGATATGGATCTATCTGCAATCGTCTGCATGTCTGAATCCAGTTGTGCCAGCACCATTTGTTGAAGATGCTTTCTTTTTTCCATTGTTTAGATTTAGCTTCTTTGTCAAAAATCATGTATTCATAGGTGTGTGTGTGTGCTCCCCCTTGTTCAGGCCAGCTGTTTCTGTGGGTTTCACCAGCCTGGTCCCAACCCCTTTGATCCTCATTCCTCCTTCTCTGCAACTGGGTTCCAGAGTTCAGTTCAGTGTATAGCTGTGGGTGTCTGCCTCTGCTTCCATCAGCCACTGGATGAGGGCTCCTCATGCTCCCAATTAGCTCAGGAGATCCTGCCCCTTCCCATTCTCCAGGGTCCATGCATTTTTCTCTTAGAGTCCTTCTTGTTTCCTAGTTCCCTTGGTGATGAGGACTGTAGGCTGGTAATCCTTTGCTCTATGTCTAAAATTCATATATGAGTGAGTACATACTGTTTGTCTTTTTGTGACTGGGTTACCTCACTCGGGATGGTTTCTTCTAGTTCCATCCATTTGCCTGAAAATTTCAAGATTCCATTGTTTTTTCCACTTAGTACTCCATTGTGTAAATGTACCACATTTTCTCTATCCATTCTTCAGTTGAAGGGCATCTAAGTTGCTTCCAGGTTCTGACTATTACAAACAACGCTGCTATGAACATGGTTGAACATATGTCCTTGTTGTATGAATGCGCATTATTTGGGTATATGCCCAAGAGAGGAATTGCTGGATCTTGAAGTAGACTGATTCCCATTTTCCTGAGAAACTACCATACTGATTTCCAAAGTGGTTGTACAAGTTTGCACTTCCACCAGCAATGGAGGAATGTTCCTTTTTCTCCACATCCTCTCCAACATAGACTGTCATTGGTGTTTTTGATTTTAGCCATTCTGGCTGGTGTAAGATGGTATCTCAGAGTTATTTTGAGTTTCACTTCTCTGATGGCTAAGGATTTTGAGCACTTTCTTAAGTGTCTTTCAGCCATTTTAGATTCCTCTGTTGAGAATTCTCTATTTAGTTCTGCACCCCACTTTTTAATTTGGTGGCTAGCTTCTTGAGTTCATTGTAGATTTTGGAAATCAGCCCTCTGTCAGATGTGGGGTTGGTGAAGATATTTTCCCATTCTGTGGGCTGTCTTTTTGAGTTGGGCTTGGAACCTTACCATGGATTTAAGTGTTTTCACTGATACAGGAACAAGGTCACAGCAATAATTGAAAAGTAGAAAAAAAAACTAAGATACATAAATGTATATTAAGAAAGGCTTGGGAGAGTTGGAAAAATGGTTCAACCATTAAAAACCACCTATAATTCCAGTTCCAAGAGGCCCCACACCCTCTGGCCTCCTTGGGTACCTGGCATACATGCGGTGCACATAAACTCGGGAAGGCACAATTACATACATACAATTACCTACATATAAATAAATCTTAAAAGAAAGCCAGGCCTGAGATGATAAAGTGGCTCAGCTGCCCACCCTAACAACCCAAGCTCAAGTTCGGTCTGAGACCAACATGGTAGAGGGAGAGAACAGACTCCCAGTTTGTCCTGTGACATGCATACATGTGCCATGGTGCATGAGTGCCTGTACACACACACACTCTCTCTCTCTCTCTCTCTCTCTCTCTCTCTCTCTCTCTCTTCTCTTGGGCTAGAGAAATGGCTTAGTAGTAAAGAACACTGGCTGCTCTTCCAGGGAACTCACATGGTGGTTCACAACCATCTGTAACTCCAGTTCGGGGATTCGGCATACTTTTCTGACCTCCTCAAGCACCAGGTATCTGTGTGGTGTGAAGACTTACATACTGGAAAGAGCCCCATACACATAAAAGAAAATAGATCTTATTTCATATATATTCTTAGGCAGGGCAGGGTGGTGTACTCCTGTAATCTCAGCACTAGAAGATGAAGGTGAAGGATTGAGAATTGAGGGCCAGCTGTACCCATATGGCAAGTGAGAGGCCAGTCAGCTACATGAGTCTATCTGTTAAAAATACACCATTTGGGCCAGGCAGTGGTGGTGCACACCTTTAATCCCAGCATTAGAAAGGCAGAGATAGGCAGATCTCTGAGTTCGAAACCAGCCTGGTCTACAGAGCAAGTTCCAGGATAGGCTCCAAAGCTTCAGAGAAACCCTGTCTCAAAAAACAAATCAAACAAACAAACCAACAAAAAATACACCATTCAGGCTGGAGAGATGGCTCAGAGCACTGCCTGCTCCTCCAGAGGTCCTGAGTTCAATTCTCAGCAACCACATGGTGGCTCACAACCATCTATAATGGGATCTGATGCCCTCTTCTGTCATACTGACATACATTCAAATAAACCACTCATATGCACAGATAAATAGATATTTAAAAAATATACCATTCTTAATAAGTGACAGACGTTAATATTTCTTAATTATAGAGAACTACTGCTTATCAGTAAAAAAGAATACATAACACCTCACTTAATAAATGAGCAAAAGACCTAAACAATCAATTCAGAGAAATATAATTATGTAAAAAAACTACTAGAAAGATGTATTTACATGTTAATTTTTTGTTTGTTTGTTTTATGGGACAGGGTTTCTCTGTGTGACAGCCCTGGCTGTCCTGGGATTTGTTTGTAGACCAGGCTGGCCTCAAACTCACAGAGATCTGCCTGCCTCTGCCACCCAAATGTTGGAATTAAAGGCGTGTGTCACCACTACCTGGCATGTTGATATTTTCAAAGGTTTATTTGTTTCAATTCATGTGTACGAGTGTGCACCTGCATGAATTTCTGTGCACCATACACGTGTGTGTGCCCCAGAAGGCACTGGACCCCTGCAGCTGGAGTTGCAGATGCTTATGAGTTTTATGCGAGTATTGGGAACCAAACCTGAATTCTCTGCAAAACCAGTATGTGCTCTTAACTGATGATCAGCCACTTAAAAATAAATTTAAATATTACATTTCATTCTGACAAGCCTGTGAGAAAACCCACTCTTTATAACCTACTGGAAATATAAATTAGGTGGGCCTCCCAGAAAGT